TACTGTAGGAATATTTCTGATCCCTAGAGGTGAGCAATTCCAGAGTAATAGCCCGACATGAGCGAAAGCTCCTCCCCCCCCCCCCACTTTGTATTCAGTTTGGAAGAAAAGATCTGGCAGGTGTGTAGTGATCAATCAAAGAAATATTGTACTGTGGAGAAGAGCCTTGAACACGATGAAACATAATTATATGCAAAAGAAGTTTAAAAACAATACGTTCTTGTATGGGTAGCTAATGGAGTTCCTTGAGAACCGGTGTTCTTTGAAGGTGTTTGTTGGATAGGGTAACAATACGAGCACCGGCATTCTGCAATTTTATGTCATGAAATAATTAATAGCTTCAGTCTTATTAGTTGTCTTTTTATTCCACCAATTAATTGGTCTGATGTTCTGCTTCTATTAAAAACAAAGTAATTATTGGACTTCCCCTTTAATCATTTTACCCATAGATGATGACACTGACTTGATGGAAAGTTCCCGTGACCGTCTTTGTGAAGAATTAATAACACCAGTAATGTTTATCAAATTAACTCCGCCTGTTGCTTACATCAGCGTTTGTCAACCTTTTTTTTCAGTCACGGCTCCCTTTTCAGAAATAAAAGGTTTCACGTCACCCCAATTTCCAAATTCAATATAAAATATTAATTGAATATCAATCTGAAATTCGCCGAGTGCCATGTAGGCCTACCTACATTTTTTTTTTGCGAGTTCGTTCGTTCGTGTCTCCTTAGATCAAGATAGTAATGTAAAGTTCCTTAACTTAGAAGTAAATTAAATTAAATTAAGTTCTTCCATCGCTCGATTGCTGCAATGGCCGTTTCATTAACAAGGGACAGGTCTTCATCTGTGCAACCCGTTCCGCCGCACTGCAAGAGGTGGTCCATCGTCTGAGTCTCTCCGCAGTCGCAGAGAGTATCTCCTTCATGGGCATAGCCCCATCTTGCCATATTGACCTTACACCGTCCCATTCTCGTCCGCATTCGATTTAGGCATTGCCACTCCGGCCACTTCAGGTTAAGACCTTTGATGAGTACGGGCTTGACTGATGGTGGAGGATTCTGTTCAGGTGGTGGGACAGAATCGAGGAAGCTGTGTCGGGATATAAGTCGTTTGTGGGGTTGTAAGTATCCGTGTAGCATGTGTCTGTCATCTGTCGCCTGCTTCATCCGTTCCTTCAGGCAGGTGTTAGTGCGCCTTTGGTTAGGAGATCCAATGCCAGCGAGGTGATATATCTCCTCAACTTTTGTTGGTTTCAGACATCCTGTTATCTTTCGATATGTGTTATTGAGTGTGGTGTCAAGCTTCTTCACATGGGCTGATCTGCTCCAAACTGGGCAAGCATATTCTGCGGATGACATGCATAGAGCAACAGCTGCACTTTGTACAGTTTTGGGTCAGCGCCATAGTGTGAAGATACTAGCTTCCCGATGATGGCATTTCGAGATTCTACTTTGCCTATTGTCTTCTCGATATGTCTGAAGGATAAAGTGCGGTCAAGTTTTACACCTAAATACACTGGATGCTCGCAGTGGTTAAGTTGCACATTGTTCCACTTTAGCTTCAGTTCTCTCTTTGCCTCCCTGTTCTTCAAGTGGAAAACACACACCTGAGTCTTGGATGGGTTTGCCCGTAGGTAGTTTGCTCTGTAGTACTCCGAAAGGCTTGCGAGCGCTGTGTTCAGATGGAGTTCAACAGCTTCGAAGGTACTATGCTGGGCTGTGATGCAGGTGTCATCTGCATAGATGAAGTTTCGAGTGTTCTCTGTTGAAGGGATGTCAGCAGTGTATATGTTGTAGAGTGTTGGCGCCAGGACGCCACCCTGGGGGAGACCGTTTTTCTGTTTCCGCCATCTGCTCTTCTGCCCATCCAGTTCGACAAAGAAGCGTCTGTTCTGCATCATCTTCTGAATGAATCTGGTGAGTTTGAGGTCATTTGTGATGTCATGAAGTTTTGTCTGTAGCCTTCGGTGATTGACAGTGTCATAAGCCGCAGATAAATCCACAAATACTGCACCTGTGATGAGGTTGTTCTGAAAACCGTCTTCGATGTGTTGGGTCAGGTTGAGAGGTTGTCCCGTGGTGGATTTTCCTGGTCGGAAACCTGCCTGCTCACAGTTCAGTTGGCTGTCAACGTGAGGCCCAATTCTGTTGAGAATAAGGCGTTCAAGCAGCTTGTATGTTTGGCACAGGAGCGAGATCGGTCGAAAGTTCTTGGCTTCGTTCGAGTCCTTTCCTGGCTTGAGGATAGCGACGACTTTGGTTCGGCCGGAGCCACTGTTTTGGGACACATGTGTTCTCGATGCAGTTGTTAAACATGTCTAGCAGCCATTTCTGTGCTACAGAGCCCATGTGTTTGATCTGCTCCGATCTGATGTCATCGATGCCTGCCGCCTTGTTGACGTGTAGCGTGGAGATACCTTTCTGTAGTTCTTCTTCAGAAATAGGTCTTGTGAAAAGAGACATGTTCTGGTCAACTCCAGGTAGTTTGTGCCTGTGTGAATTAGTCGTCTTGGGGGCCTTTCCATTTTTCAACAGCTGATTTGCTACTTCGTCAGCCGTAACATTATAATGCTGTTGAGCTCTGGTGCTGTCAATTCCGAGCTTGCGTATGGTGGCCCACGCTTTCCTGCTGCTGTGTCTTAAGTCTGTTGTTTCAATCATGTGCTGCCACATCTGCCTATGTCGTTGAGATATCCTTGATATAAGCTCTTCTCCAAGGTTGATGGTATCCTCTGAGAAGGCATCTGTGTCGTAGGCTGTGGTGTAGTTTGCCAGAAGCTGACTTGATTCCTCATCGATGCCTGGAATGTATGTCGTGCGGCAGCCTCTTGGGATATGTGTACGTGACACCTTCTTGACTATATCTATGAAGGATTCATAGTTCTTTGGATCTGCAGGGAGATGTGTTAGGGCATGATCAAGGTGTTCGGTGAAAGCAGGCCAGTCTGCCTTAGCAAAGTTGAACCTGCGCTTGAACGGGGTCTTGTTTGGTGTGATAACTGCAGTCAGTTGAATGCCGATGGGTCGGTGTTGGGATCTTGGAATCGGCTCAGCTACAAACTTACGACTGGTGGGAGCAAGCAGCCTGCTGCAGAAAACTAGATCCGGGTTGTAACGTCTCTTCCAGCGGGCACTGGCGAAAGACTTTGGGAGCTTTGGATCGTGGATTAGTTTTAGGTCGTTGTTTTGGGCCCATGTTTCAACTAGTGCTCCATCATCTCCAGTGGTATCATATCCCCATTGCGTGCTGTGGCTGTTGTAATCGCCAATTACAATATGCCTATTGGTAGTGGTGGAAGGATACGAAAAACTTATGTTTGGTGGCTTGTAGATGGAGGAGATCGTTAGTCCTTTGATTGTCACATTCAGCACTTCGATGTCGTTATTGTGGGTATAGGATGTAGAATCCGGTCTGATCTTCTCGTTCATGAAGATAGCACTTCCATATTGGCGATGTGGCCGCTCGATGGCAAGCTTCATACCCTTGATCTTGGGCCGTGGATTGTCGCTGCCGCGGTGAGTCTCTTGAAGACATAGCACATCGCAGTTCATTTGTTTGCACATATGTGCAAGGACTTCCTCCTTGGCATCTGATATACCTTCGGCGTTCCATGATAGCACCGTCAGGGCCGGTCGTGAGAGGGGTCCCTCAGCGGAATTGCTCTGGGATGCTGCTCTATTGGGCATTTTCATTATGTTATGTTGGTCTTGATCTTAATCGTAATCTTAATATTACTCTAAGTCTAAGTCTAAATTATTATTATTCTCAATCTTAATAGATTGAGCGAGTGAGCGAGCAAAAAAAGAAGACATATATTTAATATATGTTAAAATTATTTTCGTAATCGAAACACCAGAACAAATCATAAGACTATAAAATACTGTATCCGGACATCCCGCTGCCGAATAAAGGCTTATAAACAAGAGGATATTTGGGCATCTCGTTGCCCGCAATAATGCCGTTTCTAAATGTCGCGAGTGAAGCAAATGAGCGTGGTAATTAAAGCCCCACTGTCCTACTTGTAGCTTCTTGCTCCTATATAGAAAACTTTCCAAATCGGTGACTGTTGGTCCCCCATGATCCTCCATTTCTTATGTTATTTGAGAGCTGAGTTGATGAGATAGCCACCTGTCACAGTGACCTCGCTGTGTGGTCTAATCCCTCCTATAGCCACACTAGTGTTGATAAGCTTTAAACGTCCTCTTACTTTTTTCTCTTCTCTCTCTCTCTCTCTCTCTCTCTCTTTGGCCGGCGGGTTTGTTTTTGTTTTTTTGTAGGGGGGGGGGGGGGGTGGCTACGCGCCTGATTTCTGAAATAGTACTTTCAGGCATCTTGCTGTCCGGGATCGCTGTCAAATAGAATGATATTTGGGCACTCCATTGCCCCCAAAATGGAGGTGTTCAGGTACTGCGCTGCCTGAAATCATCATGTTTCTAAATAATGCGAGCGAGTGAGGAAGAAATACATTTTTGGGCTATTTCCTCATGGTGCGATTCTCAAATTTTCGAGGCCCCCCCCCCCAAAAAAAAAATTAATTAGTGCTCACTGTCCCCCCACCCACCCCACCCCCCACCCCCCCCCCCCCCCCCCCCACTGAGCGAAATATTGGCCGGCACGATTTCCAAATTACAGCCAAATGTGGGCCCCCCCCCCCCCCCCAAGAAATCCTGGAACCGCGTCTGCCGCCGCCCCCCCCCCCCCCCTCCCTATTTTCTATTTCCTCATGAAATTACATATACAAACGCTGGTTTATAATATTTCGTGTTTCACGAAATCGACGATATTCACAATTAGTTTTGTGATGTTACCGGTAACCGTATGTTACTAAATTTCTATCGCGGCAAAACGCTGGCTTATTCCCCGGATTCAAACCTTTGTTTATACTCCTTCCCCATTCATCATGCAGGTAAGCCTCCAGCATTCAAAACACACAACGCGTACAAAATGGTTGTATGTGTAGAACGCGCACAACAGGTCGTTTATGCATTTTGTATGAGAAGAACGTGTAGCACGCACCAATCAATTATCTCTCTGCACACACGCGAATGACAGATGTGCGTTGCGTTGCCGAGGTTATGGAGCAATGCACCTGTAATATGTACGTACATGTATGTCTACGGCATATCTCCGCCGAACAGGTACATCTGTACGCGTTATCGCGTAGAGAACTGGGATATCATTAGAGATTTTTCATGTCATCTGTATTGTTTTGATTATTGAAATGGATGAGAAAGGATGAACTGAGCCTTAGGAGAATGAGGGAACCAGCAAACAGTCAGCAGGGTAAGTTTCCTAGAACAATCGTGCATTGATTTACTTTTAATTTAGCTGAACTGAAGTGAAATGTCTACTCTCGATCTGTCGAACACAAAGTACATGCAACAACATGATTAAACTACTTGACTAGTCTAGCATGTTTACAGAAGTAAAGACTAGTAGCTCAGCCAGGAGTAGTTAGAGTCTCTTATGAAAGTTTACATTAAAGACGATCTCAAATATTCAGATAATATATATTTATATATAGAAAGCGTTTATTAACCATCATAATTACAGTGAATTTACAGATTGGAGAAATATGAGTGTAGAGTTGTAGACTGTAAAACGGTGTAACTCCACCAAAATCTTGAAGACATAAATGTGGAAATTGCATCAAAAAAAGTCATGAAAACGGGTCCTCTACTTGTCGTGATGCATGATGTGACTGACGTCGCGAGGGGGACCCTGGCCTGGTTTGCTGATAGTGATAGTGAATGGAAGTGGTATATAGGGTCTATGTTCATGGAATAAAACCTTGTCAGAGCTAGCGGGCTAGGTGATATTAATGACACCCATACCATAGACAGAAAACTTCAGTCTCTTACATGGACGGTTGTTCACCGAGACTGTCTGGCTCCATATGAGCTGATCGCCCCTACATACAGAGACTGAAGTACAAAATATAATGTAGACAGGCAGGTGCAAGCTATTTGGATTGTGACGTACAGGATTGTGATAATGATGAAGGTGAAAATTAGAATATTATTAATTTCATTTGCGCCCTTTCAAACCATATAAACAAAAACAGAAAATAAATGATCAGATATATATTTTGCGGGTCACTATAAAACAAAAACAAACAGAAAAGAGAATAAGAGAAAGAATTTTGTAATTATTTTATTTCTAAAAATACACATGAACTGGAGTTACATAAATTGACAAAAGAAACATCAAATAAAATATTACTATCAAAGAATGCCTGGGGATTTAATACCAAAATAAATTAATGTTTAAGGCTCTTCTCATTGATTAGTCCATTGTTTACAATTTAAATAAAAACACATTTCAGAACTTTTACAACCAACCGTCTGCAATACAGCCATAAAATTTGTAAGCAGTGATGGGAACAATCATATTTTCATTTTTCAATCACAATACCAATGCCAATCGCTTCCCCTCCCCCCCCCCCCCCCCGAAAGTTTGTATTTTCACAAATATATATTTGAGAAAGAAAATGTGTCTTCTTTGTTAAAATGATATCAAAACCTGGCCAAAAATAGCACATAAAGACACTTAAACCTTCCCCACTTTCTAGAGGTGGTATTCTATAGTGTACTTGATTGTACTTGAGTACGTATCCGCATCCAACTTGTACTCTGCAGCTCTGTAGACTTCTATTATTAAGTAGCGCATGAGTATGATACACAATAATGAGTATACGGGGCAATACGAAGCCTCTACGTCCAGGGGTTACGCACTAGAGTGTAATACGTGGATATCCCTAATCACTGTAATTCCTCCGTGCGTGTTCATGTACAGCGCACGGACACCGGTTGGCACATGATGTCATACTCTGATGACCCACGCATATCGTCTGTGTCACCGCTGTTGAATATGTTGGAATGAACATGGTGTTGTATTTACCGTGTTCCTGACTGGTATAAAGAAGTAAAACAAAGGAAACAGTGATGGTTTGAAAGTTTGTATATTTATCATCACAATGAACCAAATTACTTTTTGATGCAGTAGCGTTTTCATATATTTTTTTTAAGCTGCATATCGTTAAGTTGCTATGTTTTTTAGACTGTTTTAAATGCTCCTTTTAGAGCATGTTAACGTTAAAAAAATATCTTGATGTTTTGTAAAGATGGATTATTTGATCTATCTTCTTTATATTGGTACATAAATGAAAAAAATCCATAGAGAAACATTAATGCAATCGTAATTTACATGTACCAATGTTTTCTGCTTAATGTCCGTTTTTACCGTACATAGCTTGCATACGACTTGTGTAAATACGTGCGAATTCGCGGACGCTGCGGACTGACTGTTCAAAGCACTTTAAAATCGGTCAAGAATTAACAAAAAATATGACATATTGATACTGGAGTAAATGTACCTTCCACATATTCCTGGTGATAATGAGCTTCATGTCACATGTGATTTACATTTTAAAAAGCCTGACCTCTTTTGAGAGTTCGCAATATTGGTTTTGCCTGAAATGTCCAATGTAAATTAAGGTGTACATAATAAAAATAAATGATTTTGCGTTGCCAATTTGGTACTAACTTTACATTAATAGAAATTAGTATAAGAAGGCTCGCTCACAGGGAGTTTGCTAAATTCAGCGAATGTTACATGTTCACATGTAACTTGTTTGTATTGTGTCGTAATTTTTGTTCTTTTTTACGTCTATGTATTTATTGTTTACCGGTATTATAAGAATAATCTTATAGAAATAATTACTATACTTAAATTCTTGAATTTAATGTGCTATATAATTCATCAGAAATCACAATATTAGTGCTGATGAGGCTACCCCGGGTAGACGAGACATATTATTATCACTATTATTAATATTCTTGTTGGTCTTGTTATTATCATTATTATTATCATTATTATGTATGTTACATGTGTATGCACTAGCTAATCTGAAAGATTAAAGGTACTGTACATAATTTTGGAGACAGAATGAAAATAATGGACATAAGACACGATCCTTATATATATTTTTTCCTTTTCTTGTTTAATAGGTGGGGTGAAGCGTTTCTCCTACAATGGTCCTAAATCATCAAAAGACAACTCACCTGGGCCTACTGATGAATGGTTTAACGGATTGCCAACCAAGTCAAAATCAGAACAATCATGTAAGTATTTGTCTTATTCTCCATTTTAAAAATTCAAATATTTGATGATTATTTTCATGCACCCCATGTGATCCACAGTTGGTAGAAGTAACTTGATGATGTGATGTGCGCAATCTAGCAGAATGTCCCTGCAAGCCAATAATTACATGGAAATTAGAATGGATATAATGGATGTGTTGGTCTAGTGGAAACGTCGAACTGTGGATCACATGGTTCGTGGTTCGAGTCCCAACGCAGCACCAATGTCCTTTGGTAAGACATTAATCTACATTGGCCACTCTCCACCCAGGTGATAAGTTAAATGCCCAGTACTGGTGGGAAGAAATTCCTTGAATGCTGTAAGCACTGCCATTAGTAGCCTAGCCGAGCTGGGGTAATATTGGAGTACTTCTGCATGGTGGAAATGTGCGCTATAAGAATAACCAATATTGTTATTATATCATAATGCGTAATAAATCAATAGTATGATTATTTTTATCATCCTGACTTTATGGAAGCAATCACAGAACTTGATGATGTTTTGAGCTTCTTGGTAAAAAATATATCTTGGCAATGGGCAAATATATCTTGAAAAGTTCAACATGTTGAATTTTGTAATAAAGTTAAAATTGGACATTCTTTGAAACGTGTCAGTATTATTGATTATCATTTTTTCATCCACCGCATACATAGTCCACGGAAGCAACACCGAACTTGATGACGTATGGAGCATCAGGAAGAATGTGTCTGCGAGTCAGAACCTGCCAGCAAAGCAGGCGACAACCGCCAGCAACAACCCCCAAGCCACTGGCTACTACTCACGCCACGGCCAGTACAACAACAAGTCCTCCAAGCTTAACGAAGACACGTCTGCTCTCACCGGTGCAGATGGATCAGGATTTGGAAGTAAGGCCCCCACCCCCCCCCCCCAATTTTAGTTCTTATTAAGAATAAGTACTCTGTAGAGGTAATGGTAGTGGTGGTAATTTTACCTGACTGCTAAGAAAGCATAAATGCTTGTTAGTAAGCAACCAGAGGACCGAAGGCTTAAGGTCCGCTCCGTGGTACCGTAGTCGAGTGGTTTAATCATTCGACTGGGAATGCAAAGGTCACGAGAGGTCAATCCCTGGCTCAGCACTTACGTCCTTGAGCAAGGCATTTTTATCTACATTGCTCCTCTCCACCCAGGTGTTAAATGGGTAGCTGTAGGATGCAAATGTCCTATAATGGGGGACCAACAGGCACCGCTTAGGCATTGTTTTCTATATAGAGGGAGCAAGTAGCTACAAATGAACATGTAGTGCAGCGGGGCTTTAAAGGTCTAAGGAAAGGATACTTGGTTGTAGGCCTACTACAATTTTAGACATGATGTGTAAGTCCAAGATGGTAATCACACCTATGATTGTTTGTCAAAATATGATTATGAATGATCAATAAAACATATATTAAAAAAAACCCAAAACTTTGAAGGTAGGCCTATAGACCAGTTTTGGAAACGCCCCCTCTCAAAAAATGAAATGGAAGCTCTTATTACCAATCATGTGAAAGAATATGCTTTGACTAATGCGTGATGATACAAATTTTGCCGGGAAATCGCCTACTGATTGATATATTTGGTAAATTAATATATCTATCCAGACTGGATAGATATAGATACTGTACATATACATCTTTCTGTGTACAGTGCTTGTAACTTTACCAAGACTGGGCCAAATTTCTTATCATTTTGATGATTCCAGAACCTTGCAGTGCACACCAATACTTATATGCTAGATGATCAACCTTTTCTGATCGATTCCACAACGTTTCTTTCACAATGCAATCGCATGACCAGAACTGGTCTATACCTTTAACCAACAGGCTGTAGGACAAATTCAAAATACAATCGTCAAATTTTGGTGTCCAATTTTCTGTTTCCCAGAATCCGGAGGCTACTCTTACGGTCAGTCCAGGTCCAGTTACTCCTACGGCGCAGGAGCTGCAGGTGTTGGACCAGGTCAGAATACCAGTCCCAGGTTCACAACAGGACCAAGTAACACAACTCAAGGATCGGGTAGATCAGGAGGAATAGGTGTGTATAATACTTGTAACTCATTTGGGACAGGAATTGGAAGGGGCTAAATTGATCTGTTTTTATTTTTCTAATTGGCAACGCTTGTATTTTCTTTATGCTACATTTTTCTAATAGACATGTAAGTTTGTATCTGATAAAGAATAAACTTGGGACAGAAGCTAGGTTTCATGCTAGAATTTTTTTTAATTTGCTTGTTACTATGGGAACAGTAATTTTGACAATTCCAACATGTGCCAATTTGAGGATTTTAATGCTTACATTTTTTTTGTTTTTTTTTGTTTTGGGGGGGGGGGGGGGATGATTTGTTGTCAAGGCTACATGTATTTGGTAACAAAATAAAAATGAAGACAGTACATGTATGCATGTACATGTTTGTAAAACATTTACAAGTTCATTTTTAGACAGGAAGTGCTGCCCACTGTTATAATGTTTTAAAGTGTACCACTTACCTTGAAGAATGACATGTGTACCAATAGAACGTATTAAATCAACTCTAAAACCTTTACTTGGCATTCTATAAGAATAGGTCAATGGTTTTGATATGATCGAAGAACGTGAATAATAACATTAAACCCCACGCTTGGAACCTAAGTAAGACTTGGGTTTCGTGCGGGCCCCATGTTAATTGAGGGCGTATGAGAGAGTTGACTAGTCTACTCACAAATCTTTTCTTATTGTAATTGGGTATATGTAAAAATATATTTCTTCGTGAAAGAAACAACTGAAGCTCATATTTTTAATATAGTACAGTGACATGAAACCCCTAACGTGCAGAGGAAAATATTTTTTGGTGATTGGTATGTTTACACTTTATTGAAAAGTAGCCCTTTTTCCCCCTTTTTCGGGGGGTAGTTTTTGGTGCCCCTCCAATTTTATTTTATTTTTCACCTCCTGTTTTCAAATCATTACGATTCCACTCCTTTCCAAAAGAAAATTTTCAGGTGCTTTCATTCCCATGAATCTGGTTTTATTGTTTTGTTGTTGTCTCAAAATAATATTTGCCATTAAAGTGACCTCTATAAGTAAGTCATATAACCTGGACCTTGCCACAACACAGATTAAACACGCAGTCAGGATGTCCTAGGGAGCGTTTCACAGAGACTAAGATCGACTTCAAGTCGGACTTGAACCATGGCAGGCTGTTCATGCCACTAGTTCCTCTTACCATTCCTGGCATTGGTTTCTCAAGGGACGTACTAATCATGGTCACAAATCTACAGAATTTACATTTTTGGATAGTTAGAAGGACAGAATGTTACCTAAAGATCATAATTTAGAGACCAATAGTGAGAGCAACCAGTGGCACGAATAATTTGCCATAGTTCAAGTCCAACTTACATGTATGTTGATCTTAGTCTTTGTGAAACAAAGATACGGTAGCAATCAAATTATTTTTATGCAATGCAATTTTTTTGTTAATGTTATGCAGATGTGAGTGGAAAAGTGTTTATTGAACCAAATATTCACTTTCTTCTATTAAGTTGTAGTTTAATTTTTACAGGGTAGCATTATCAGTTACAAAACTGCCTTCCATAATGGCCCTGTTTTATGATATGGGATCATAAATCCTGTAGTAAAGAATGCAGTGTTTGATTTAAAGAGATGCAAAGATCTGTATCAACTTTTTCCTTATTAAGTTATATCTCTTTCTTCAATTTTCTCCCGTATTCCTTTACTAGTCTATTGAAATTTTGTAGCCAAAATGATTCATTTTCACCGCTGAGTACCTTTTCAGTGACCATGTTCACAAAACCTCTGAATGAATGCACTGTAGTAAAACACAATTGCATGTTAGTTAATAACACAAATCTGCCTATTTCATGTACATGAATGTGGTATATGGCATACATGTACATGTATGTGGTACATGTACATGTATATAGTGTACATGTATGTGGTTTACAGCATGCAGTGAGTGATTTCAAGTTGGGTGTTTAAGGCTGGTGTTAGTGTTTAATAAACACTAACACCAGCCTAAACACCGAAATGGAAATCAGCTGGTGTTAAGGCTTTGACCTCTGAATATCGTCAACTTTCGGTAGCTAGTGTTATCGATTTTGCAAAATTGTCGTCTGCTGAACCGACCTTTGTGGCTGGTGTTAATATTTTACGAACAAATGTCCTATTCACTAACACTAGCCCCTAGGGATTAAGCAAATGTTGATTTCCAGTTCGGTGTTAGTGTTGTACCCGCACACAGTCAACGCACGAACAACGCCAATTTATTGTCTGACGATCAAATACAAATATGTGAAACAGGTAATTCATATATTCTTTTGTGTAAAATTAGTTATTTTATAAGACCAGAGAAATAGGTGTGCATTTATTCTGTACTTTTCATGATATCTTTAGTTTTTATGTACTATTTTTAAATCATCGTCGTGAAATCAAGTATGTGGTGACGTCACGGCTGGTGTTAAGCTATCGATTTTGATATCAGTATCGGGCTCTTAATTTTATCAGCAAATTTTCCGCTCGATTTGAGAGCTCTTGACTGCTCTAAACACTAACACTAACACTAACACCAAACTTGAAATCACTCGTTACCTGTACAGATTGTAGAGTATATATCAAGGTCAGTAACAAAGACTTTACTCCATATTTTGCCAAAATGAGTACTAGTACTAGTATTTGATATCGAAATGTTCTGAAAAATGTGGGCTCTCCAGGAAAAACAAAGACTTAACTCCACCCAACACCCCCATTGAAGTCAATGGCTAGTGAAACATAGGCTTAACTCCTTAAGGCCCAAGTGCTCAGTGACACATAAACCACTTTTTCTCAAAATGGCCAAAATGGAGTTATGTCTTTGTGTCACTGACCCCTCGATATGTAGGATATTGCTTAGTTGAAGTATGTGTAAGGGCATTTTCTTGTAGAACACTTTTTAAAATCCCCCTGCCATTTGTTAATGATGATGTAAAATGGCTTCTACATGCATTTCTTTGTCTTCTCTCAGGTGGCTTACTGGGGTGAATCTGAATAGGACTTTACAATGCTTTTTTCCTTCTTTTCTTCTTTTCTAGGCCCTCCATTGGGAAGTGGAAATAGATCACCCACTCGCTCGAACACCAGTCGATCATTGGAATCCCAGTACAGCAGAGGGAGGGGCAGTGATAAGTGGAGTAGCTTCTAATCCCACACTGCTATCACAGCATTAGTTATCGTACAAAGAACAGCAAGTAATCACTACTACATCATTGGAGGGAGGGAGAGCAGTGGCTGGAGCAGCTCTATTGTAAGGTGTATGCGTGAGTTGCTGAATTATATAGGAGCTTTAGAAATGATAAGAGAGAATGGAATTAGAGGAAATGGCTAGAACATGTAGAAAAATAGCAGATGCGAGTACAGAGGAGGAAAACTTCTGCATGGATGAGCTTTTGTGGAGAAGGAAGAGGACAGCAGAGATGAACAGTAAATTTTAATAGCAAAGGGAAAACAGGAAAAGGAAGACTTGAAAATACAATTATCATTTCACGTAGAGAAAATAAATATAAATGACTTAGTTGCCAATTGGCACTTAATTCAACAATTATTGCAAATGCAAATGATAAAAATCCTACCATTTTCATGTGGTTCAACGTTAAAAAAGAGAAGAAAAGTTTTCCCGTTGATAATTTGTAAGAAATTAGATATTTACGATTGCTCCAGAGTTGAAAATATGCATTGTGGATGTGTTTTTAAAAACATAGTCACACACAAAACAAGGATTTTTTTTTTAATGTGGAAATTATGTTATGCACAGACTGTAATGTGCAAAAAGACCAACAACTCACATTGGCACATTGCAAGTGTATTTTAAGTTGTTGCCACTGTAAAATTATTCCTATAGTTTACTACATTTAAACAATTTAAACATTTGATGTGATGCTTTTTTATGCCTCCGTCATCAAAGGCTTGTGCCGAAAGCATTATGTTTTCAGGTTGTCAGTTTATCTGTCCATCGCTCCTGCTTTTCTTTACCGTGATAACTTGAGAACCATAAAACAGATTTTAACCAAACTTGGATGAAGTATGTATGAGCATGCAAGGATGAACTGAGTAGATTTTGGGTCTAAGATGTCAAAGGTCTAAGGTCACAGGTTCATAAAAGTGTTTAAGAATACCAGAAAATACCTCATTACTGTGATAACTTGAAAAGCAATTCAAACCAAACTTGGATGAAGAGATTAAATTGTGGGTGTACGCTGTTGGTAAGAGACTCTGGTATCCAGTTTTTCCAATCCAGTTATTTTCTTCAAACTGGGGGCATATGTTCATTCATCAAACTCTAATAATACTTATAATACCACAAATTTCCTTTGGGGAAATCATTAAGGAGAATCAGAATGATACATGTATATCAGTAATTACCCTGAAACAAATTTCCATCATTTATTCACAGGGAAAAAAATGTATGGGGGCTTGGACGAAATCGCCCCCGAAATAAAAAAAATAGAAAACAAAGTACCTGTATACAGCAATGCAAGCTCTCCATTAAAACAGAAAAGACGGTGCTCTTGAAGTTCACATTCGTTTAGAGATACACTGTAAGTTCAAAAATGTTGTTTGTCTGAAAACTATTCCACTCAGTCCACTGACTGCACTTTATTACAGAATAGAAATGTCCAAGGACTGTACTATTTGATTTTTAAATAAATATTTTATACAATTAAAGTTTCCATGTACCAAGATACAATTGTTTCTTGGGCACTGTCTGCAACAAACCCTGGCAAGAACGCTGATTCACATTATATTTTGCCTCCCATCTACCATTTACTCCTCTTTACAGAAGAAGAAACTCATTTTTACGGCATTTACAATGTAGCAACTGTGAATATCTCCTTGTTTAATTTTTCAATTTAAAGTGAATGAAATCTTTAATGCAAAATCAAGACTATTAAACCGACACTGTACATGAGCATTAAAGATGAAGTTGAGTTCTGGTCATGCGATTGCATTGTGAAAGAAACAGTGTGGAATCGATCAGAAAAGGTTGATCATCTAGCATATAAGTATTCATGTGAATTGCAAGGTTCTTGAATCATCAAACTGATAGGAAATGTGGCCAAGTCTTGGTAAAGTTACAAGCACTGTACACAGAAAGATATAGGGGACCATGGGTGTCGATCCGTAACTGATACCTATTCATCAGGGGGGGATGATCTATTCATTCATCCCCCCCTGATGAATAGGTATTACGTAAGTATCGACACCCATGTAGGGGACTACACAAACACGTGGCGTAAAAATCTGTCCCAATTTTTACGATGTTGCATGCCATATTTAGAATATGAAAGCATTTGAAGACCCATGCTTTTCAGGGAACATGTTTTATCTGTTGTTCTTCCACACTTGCAAAATAACAATGATAACGTACACAAATTATTTTTCACCTCTTCCCAGAACTCGACCTTCTCTTTATTGAAGGAGGTTTGAAATTTGGTGTTATTTTTACTGTAAGCTTAAAGAATATCCTAGATGCAAAACCTACATTGTAAACAAAAAATCATCATGCATTCTTTTTACCTTTAATCACTATTCACCTTGACTTGATTTATTGAAAGATTTTATTTTTTGTGAGAGAATATCATGTTTAATTGAAATTTTATTGAAAAAAGCTCCTTTTGAAAAGGAGTAACAGTGATGATATGTATATACTAAAACTGTACTTAATTGTAGAGAAATAATTATTTAATCAAATGAAATATTTTACTTAATGTTTGTGTTTGTTGTGCTCTTGGTGGAAATAGGCTTGTATCGTGTGATATTTCTGAATGTTTTGTATTTGAGTATTAATATTCATAATCATATACAATGTACATGTATATATAGAGTAGTTGCGTACATGTACATTACAATACCAAGTTGATATGCAGCAAAAAGGATCGTTAATTCCAATTTCTGCCTGCATGCTAACTCCATGTATTTTTCAACATTTCATCAACAACAAAATATATGTTGATAAGGTTGAGTTCCTTCAATATATAAACAGAGGCTTTACTTATTCTGGCATAACTTCTTTGTTTCCGATCTTGATATCAGCCACTATGCAGACTATAACTTTGAAACTTTTGAATACTTCTGCTTTAGTAGCCATACCCGTCACAGTTAAAAATGTAGTTCCATCTACAATTTACATTACGATTTGAAAATTTAAAGTATTTGATAGCGCAAAGCTGGTTGAAATTTGCAAAAAAGGATACAAAATTTACAGATATCAAAATTTGATACATGTAATTATTGAACAAACCTTATAAATAATTTGTCAATGTACATGGATCCACCCAAATTACATTTCTGATGATTTCTCCCATGTTATATTATGAAGGGAAAAAAAAAGAACTTTTGTTTGATAGGTTCATAAGATTGCTGCCTGAATAATTCTATATGATTCTTATTTGAGACTGAAAAATTCTTACCATCTCTGCATTCTTACATATACATTTGATGTGAACTTGTGAAGTGCTCTTTCTCTTTAGTGGTGTTTTGCATCAAACTAGCAAAATAGGCTGAATTAACTTTTTGATATCAAAGCATTAATAAAACGTCTACTTTACCTGTCTCCAAGATTCTCAACATGTTATGTATTTTATTAGTAGCCATTTTTAGTTTTTGATGAAAAATATATTTTATTATCAGAAATGAGACCTGTCGAAATTATAAGAAAATGAAAGGAAATGCTCTTCTTGAAATCATGATTACCATTGAGTTACATATAAAAGCCATTGGGTTGTGTAAACATTGTTATGTAAAAAAAAATGGTATGCATGAGGGTGATTTTAAATAATAACTGGGTGTTCATCTTTCCCATTTCCACATGTGGCTTGCTTTAATAGTAATTTTCCTGTAGTCTTAATGTTGAACTGTAAATCCTGTAAAGGGACATCCAACCTTTCTAGCAAACTACTCTTAAAGAAAAGCAGAGAAGCAGACTATAGTCTTTCTGTGAAAGTTTGCACAAAATCAGTCAAATAGATACATATGTGCACTTCAATAGGCTGAATCGGTAATATCACTGTGATGCAGTGCCGGACAACTTTTCCATCTGTCTCAACATACAAAATTACTAAAATGTAAATTTTTCAGAAATGTATGACTTGAGAGGATTTTTTCTTTTAAAGGACCTATAATAATATGATATCCATTCATTGTTTTGAGTAGTGCCCCAAGGGAGAAGACACTTAGAAGAAATTAAGAAACTATTAACTAATGATACTATTTGTACATAATGAAAGGGAGAGACTAAACTGACGAAAATGCCAATTTGAGATTCACATATGTTCATTCGCACATGTAACTAAGTTATCTCATATTTCAAATATTCATAACTTTTTCATTATTGGTCTGATTTATTTCAAAATTTCACCATTCTGTGTTTCTTATTTTTGTTCTGCTTTCATACAAATAAACTTATTCCAAAGGTTGGATTACCCTTTAAGAAATTAATGCACAATATTAAATGCTGCATAGGAAAGTGAGTTGACAGTCCAGTCTCTTTCACCTACTGTATTTACTAAATCACATTTATTATTGAAGCAAATGCATACATCTATGCTATGGCCTGTTTTGTGTATAACAAATGATTTTTGTACTGTAAAACCATTTAATTGATGAAGCACAAGACATATAATTTTGCCATATAAATTATGAAATAAACGTGGCAATTGTTATTTTTCAAAACCATGTGTTCTCTGCACTGTTAAACGAGACATAAACTTGTACAAACATAATGTATAACAGACTGTATATGTTTTTAGCATTTATACAACCTTACAGTACGTACATGTAGCTTGATTCCCACTTACAATGTACTGTATATCTTCTTTTTGTCAACTCATATTTCTTTGTATTTTAACACATTTGCCTTTGTTTACCAAGTCTTTTATTTGTTTATGTTTGCTTTCTACCAACTTCGGGGAAGGGGGGGGGGGGGGGGGGGGGGGAGGGGTGGAATAAAATATGTATTTTATTATCAAGAAGAACTTGCATTGCAAGCTATACATTTTTGGGAAGGTTTTGATAACGTATAACATGGATTCTCAATTGATCTGACTGAGTTGAAATACATGTAAAGTCAACATAAGGGTATTCTGTGGTACAACTTATGGAGTAGAATTCATTATGGCAAACCAATTGTGGTTTTAGTAGGAGCTCTTATCCATTGTACTATTGAGTTGAGGTTGAATTTGAGTTTATTGGTTTCACATTTCATACATGTACGCAAATACAATACAGATAACAAAATATACATTGTTTCATAATCTAAAAAAATGATTATAGTAATTGACAAACTAATCAGATTACAAAGTTACACATATCATCAAAATTTGTTTGACAACTATTATCATTTCGAGCAAACCCAGACAAGAAAAGCACAGAACTGTGAAATGTGCAGGAACCCATAGAAAAGCATAGCATGTAAAGATTTGGTTCCTAGGTTCTATGAACAACAATTACCATTAATTTACTGGATATTCGTTGTTATGTCTTAAGTCTGATATTTTTCGGTGACATATCCATTATCTTTGTTATACTAGTAAGTTTTGAAATGATTCACCCTAATCCTACCTGGTAATGGAACTTTGCAGGAGAGCTACAAAATAAGTGTGTACTAAAAAGTTAGCTTTAATTTTTTTTTTCATTTGATAATTGATTTACTTCATGCATACCTTTTAAACCAATCACTACGTAGAGTTGTTGTTGATGTGATGTCTTATGTTTCTTTTTCTCTCAAACATTCCATCCAACTCGGCCATGCCTATTTCTCTTTATCGTGTGTCCATTATATTATATTATGTATATATTGTTTGAGAGTGGCAGCATTAAAATGTACACTACTATCAGCTAAACAAAATTGTAGAAATGTGTCTTTATTTTCAGTCTCTTATTATCAACACTTTATAGGCCACATCAATTATCTCTCTATGCCAAGATGTATTTATCATATTCATGGGATTAAGTAATTTGATCGTTTCCTGTGCAAGATTAATCCATACCAGTATTCAAAGGGTCATCATAGGGCAAATCAAGACCAGAAATGGGTAGTTTTTGCAAAGCCATTGTGTTGCACAAATCCAACCTAACGGCAATTACTACCTATTTTAGGTGTTCAAAAGTGTATGTGTGGCAAACGGGCGATTATGCAGAGAGGCAAAGGAAGCGAAAACGTGCTAAACTCTTAAATTAAGCAAATAAACTTCAGTAACTTTCCTGGAACTGAAACGCAGAAGACAACATTTTAGAACATGGTAAAGTGCACTATTACATGAAACTTATATTTCAGATTCTCAATCTTTCAAATAATGGCATATGTGTTACGCTGATACCTCTAGTAACCACTGGATAACATTTCACCTACGATAAGTATAAATAGTAGGGGAGAGAAGTAAAAGTGTCTTTTCATTGCTCTTA